TTCTTTAGAAAGCAGGAGTATCTTCTGCCTGCCTAGGTTATTAGTAGATGCTCGAGGGGACCTCAGGGACAGTGGGGTGGCAGGGAGGAGCTCTGGTCCAGGAGCCACGACAGTCAGACTCGAGACCTCCATTGCCCAATGGCAGTGCAGTGTGAGCACGTGTGTGGTTTTTAACTGTATAGTAGTTGCATTTAAAAGCATCAGAAGCAACAGGTGAAATTAATTTTCATAATTGTGCTTAATCCAGTATACTGAAAACATGATCCTTTCAACATGTAGTCAACATTGGAAATTATTGAGATATCTGACATTCTTTTTTTCCTCCTAGTCTTTGAGACCCCATGTAGATTTCACTCTTTTTTAAATTTTTGGCTGTGTTGGGTCTTCGTTGCTGCGTGTGGGCTTTCTCTAGTGGCGGCGAGCGGGGGCTACTCCTCGTTGCAGTGCGTGGGCTTCTCATTGTGGTGGCTTCTCTTGTTGTAGAGCACGGGCTCTAGGCGCACGGGCTTCAGTAGTTGTGGCATGCAGGCTCAGTAGTTGTGGCTCGCGGGCTCTAGAGCTCAGGCTCAGTAGTTGCGGCACATGGGCTTTGTTGCTCCACGGCACGTGGGATCTTCCCGGACCAGGGCTCAAAGCCGTGTCCCCTGCATTGGCAGGCGGATTCTTAACCACTGCACCACCAGGGAAGTCGAGATTTCACTCTTATGTCACATCTCAAAGAACCAGTCACAATTCAGGGGCTCCATGGCCACATGTGGCTAGTGGCTGCCCTACTGGACAGACAGCTCTAGACACCCCCAGCTCTGGCTGATCCACGTTGAATGAGCACCCTCCCCCTCGCTTCTCCAGGCCTCTGTTTCCTTATTTTTGAGTAGGGGAGCTGGGCAATCTTTTGGATTTTAATGGCTGCTCATCATCCTAACATGGACCGACTTTCAGTGCTAAGAATGAAAAGCCATGGGCAAGCCAGGACAAGCGGTTCTCCCTATTGTAGCTCAATGTCCACATCTGTAAAATGGGGATGATTGAACGTGATGAGTCAGGGTGAGGATGACAAGTAGGACAGCTGATGCGGATGTGTTTGGGGGGAGGTATCATCTTAGGGGATTGTCTTTAGGGTTAGGATCCACCCTGGTGAGTGCCCAGCACCCACTCGCTTAGAGCCAGGGCTGCCCTCTAGTTTACTCCTCTGAACATCAGTCACCTTGTCCTTCTGTAAAGTGGGGATAAAAATGACATGTGCTTTACAGAGTCACTGTCAGGATGAAATAAGACACCCATGCAGAGGGCTCAGCGCTGTGCTTAGCACACAGTAAACTCTCCATCACTAGAAACTGCTACTGTTACCATCCCTCCAGGTGCAGACGTGGGCCCAGGACGGGGAGTGCCATACCCAAGGTCACACAGCGAGACGGTAGCAGCAGGTGCTGGTCTATTGTGGCTCCCTCCTCCCTGGCAGGCATCCCCAAAAGTCAGCCGTGAATTTCTTCGCAGCGAGATAAATGAAATAAATACACCTGAAACCACTGAACTACTCCAGTGAGGCCTGGGTCCAAGTACTGTTTCCATGGTATGTGCTGTGCATGTGATGTGATGTGTTTAAAATCACGGCTCCAAAGGTCTGAGCTAGGTTGGCGGGATACCCAGTACCCGTCTTCCTATATCCAGTGCCTCATACCATGACTGGCGTGAGATTCCTCTGTGTGCTTTCAAGCATAGGGCCCCCTTCTAGATGGCACATGACGTACGTTTGGAGAGGCTGTGACGGAGGAGAACGTGCACTGAATTAACAACCAGGAAACCCGAATCACTACATATTATGTAACAATAACAGGAAGCCATTTCTTCTGAGCATTTGCTCTGTGAAGTGACTGAAACCCTTGCACTTACTATTTTATTTAATCCTCCCGGTTACCCAGGGATGGAGGAATTACTTGACCCATTTTACAGATAAGGAAGCAGAGGTTCAGAGAAAATAAAGAACTCACCCAGAAACACACAGATAGAGCCAGAAAGGGCCTTAAAAATCTTCCCTGTGGCAGAAGGGGGGACACCCATCCCGGGTGGCCCAGGATTGAGGCGGCTCCTGGATACTGGACATTTGCAAAGAAGGACAAGAGGCTCTCCTTCCAGCAGCGCAGTGTATTCTTTGGGGATATCGAACCTGATCACGGTCAGCATGAGGATGAACATATGGCAGCAGAGGAAGGTGTGTTTGGGGCGGGGGAAGAGGGATAGTGTTGAGGGATTATTATTAAGATTAGGATTTTGCCCCTGGTGAAGGTTCAGAAGCCACTTGCTCAGGCAGAGAGCTTGTTCAGCCCCACCCTGTCTCTCAGCAGACGCTGAATATCACTGCCTCTCCTAAGCCCTGCCTCTCTCCAGTTCCTTCCAAAGATCAAGCTGTCTTTCTAGGGCCAAAGTCTGAGAAACAGCACTTCTGTTTCCCAAGCACCAGCCAACAGCCTCCTCTGATTTAGAAAGCAGCTGAGAAAGAGAGAGGAAAAGCTTGGCGTGGCCAGGGAGGTTTGTGGGTTGCTTTATTTCTTTTTTCTTTTTTTTTTTAATTAATTAATTTATTTTTGGCCACACTGGGTCTTCGTTGCTGCGCGCGGGCTTTCTCTAGTTGCGGCGAGCGGGGACTACTCTTCGTTGCGGTGCGCGGGCTTCTCACTGCGGTCGCTTCCCTAGTTGTGGAGCACGGGCTCTAAGTGCACGGGCTCAGTTGTTGTGGCTCATGGGCCTAGTTGCTCCGCAGCGTGTGGGATCTTCCCGGACCAGAGCTGGAACCCGTGTCCCCTGCATTGGCAGGCAGATTCTTAACCACTGCACCACCAGGGAAGTCCCTATGTCCCTTTTTTCTTAAGCCAAGTCCTGGCTCTGTCTTTTGGTAAATTCTGGCCAAGCCAGTGTGGGGAAGAAGAGAACTGGGGGGCCCCGCCTCCCCAAGAGCTCACCTTCAAGTCCCTTCTTGAATTAAAGAACGGAGCCCAAATGCCAAACTTGGACACTCAGGAGAGATCTGGAGGTCCCAGCTGTCTCTGCCTGCAACTAAACAATGAGCATCCTGGGTTTGGTACCCAGAAAAATGGGGCTCCGGGAGAGTTAAGGAAGCAACAGCTGGGGCGGGGGCTGGGGCCCAGGTAGGGAGGTGGACCAGTCCTCCCCAGTGACGAATGACATAGCGGTTCTGGATGGTTTTCTCTGCAAACCAGAACCCCGGCGGCAAGATGCTGAAAGACACTCCGCCTGTCAACACATGGGCCGCACACGCTCACACACACAGCAGAGAAATGACACAGCACGAGGGCGATGCATGAATATACAAAGAGAGAAACACACACACACGGCGACACCAGATGGAGGAGGCAGCCGGGCTGGGTCTGGGTGTTCATGATCCGCTCACCCACAGAGAGGGGCTGGCGGAGTTGCATAACGCAAGCTGCAAAAGGGGCAGGTTGAACTTGCTAACCACCACCCACCTTGAGGGCGATCCAGGAGGCAGTGCCTCCTTCTCAGGGTGGCACCTGCACCCACCCCCTACTCTCAGAGGCAGCAGGAGTTTATCAGCTGCCCTAGCCCTGTGGTGACCCCGGGAAGTCGCTAAAAGGAAAACAAGGGAGTGTCACTTTGTTATAGTGGCAGATGGGGGCTCCCTCCTTGTGCGAGGGAATTTTGAGGATGCTGGCAGCAAGGGCTGCTAGGGTAGAGAGGAGACTGGGGCTCGGGCTTGGGGACAGGAAATGAGATGGAGGGATTCTCTTCCACCCCTACCCCCCGACCCCACCCACAAACCACAGATCACCTGTCCCCCCAAGACACGTAAGACACGCTTCCACAGCTGCCCGCTGTGCACGTGCCACAGGTGCACACACCTCACCTGGGCCACAGCATCTCCAGCTGGCCTCCCTATGGGCCTTTGGTATCCCATTTACTTCTCTGAGCCTGGGGGAGCTGGTGGGAGTTGCAAAAATCACTAGATTATAAACTTTTTTAAACTAGAGTATAAACTTAAAAGCTCATGCTCAAGAGTGGAGCAGATTTGAGTTCAAATCCTCCCTTCACCGTCATTCTCCACATGACCTTGGACAAGTCACTGAACCTGCCCAAGTTTCAGTCTTCTCGTCGGTTGAAGGGTTACTGTGAAAATCAAAGGAGAAAAGAAATTAAGAATGTACGTGCTCAGCAAGTGCCCACTGTCTTTAGTCTTTGGGGCTTTTTCTTCTTCATTCCACAAACATTCGTTGAGCACCAGCTGTGTGTTTATCTAACAGTCCACGCTTCCTAGTGTTTCTCCGTTAGGGTTTCAGACAGTCTGTGGTACAGAAATGCTCTCCAGAGTTTGGTGTGGACCCCTGTCTTTGGTATTTATTATACCAATTTTGGCTTATCACGGTATGGAATGTGGCCACGTCTGTCCTTTTGAACCTGGATTGTCGATAATTACAAAAATGGTCATAAAGTCCAGTTGACATCCCTCATCGGTGGTTGCATAGAAGGTGGCGTCATTCCCTGTCCCGTGGGTTTGTTGTGGGTGGGCTTTGGGAGCAGCCAGAATGGAGAGCCCAGTGATCCCTGTTGGCCGAGCTCCTGACCTGAGGATGGAAAACGCTGCAAAACTCGGAGAGCCAAAGGCTGCGTGACAGGTTGGAGTGGTGACTTCTTGCGGTGGGAAAGAGATAAGAGAGGTCTTCTGGTTCTTGCCATTTGATTTCTGGGGCTGACTGTCAGTGATTTCCCCCAAGGAGCCCCTCGGTCTCATAGGGCTTCGATCCTGAGGTTGAAACCAGGCAATATGCAGCTACCTGCAAAGGTATGCCCCTCGAGGAAGAAGGATTTCATTTCTAGGTTGGCTTCAGAACTCCAGAGCATCTTATGGCTAGACTTCTCAGTTGGCTGCGTTTCCCATGTTAGTTTTGAAGGCGGTGTTGGACACTCCACATGCATCTCTCTCTTTTAATTCTTTTCTTCCCCTCCCTTTTTCCTCTTCTTGACCTCAGGAGGCCCCAGATTGGATCTGCGTCTGACGGGATGGCGATGCCCAGAGGATAGTGCCAGCTAGCATGCGTCACCTCTAGACACATCCACCAGACACGTTTCCTCCCCGGTCTGCCTGACCTGTTGCTTAGGGACACGTCCCGCTGCTTCCCCTGAGGTCTGCCTGATCAACCATCGCTTCCTTAGAGAATAAGGAAGGAGGCAGACACAGGAAATCATGCCACCGACGGCCCAACGACAATGAGTGAGTGACGCTGAGTTGACGTCAAAGGCAGAGAAAACCAAGACCGAGAGCAGCTCGCTCTCCAGACTCGCCTTGGCCCCTGCAGCGCCGGCCCCCCGATCCTCCTCTCGTCACAGCCAGAAGCCTGGCCGCTCCCGGCGACATCGTCTCGGCTTGACACATTTTGAGGTCTTCCGACCCTTGGACACTAGACACCATGGAGAATCACATGTTCAGCGTTAAGCAGATCCAACCCAATGTCATTTCTGTCCGCCTCTTCAAGCGCAAAGTGGGGGGCCTGGGGTTCCTGGTGAAGGAGAGGGTGAGCAAGCCACCTGTGATCATCTCCGACCTGATTCGAGGGGGCGCCGCGGAGCAGAGCGGCCTCATCCAGGCCGGGGACATCATTCTTGCCGTCAACGGCCAGCCCTTGGTGGACCTGAGCTATGACAGCGCCCTGGAGGTGCTCAGAGGTATTGCCTCCGAGACCCATGTGGTCCTCATTCTGAGGGGTCCCGAGGGCTTCACCACGCACCTGGAGACCACTTTCACTGGGGACGGGACCCCCAAGACCATCCGGGTGACACGGCCCCTGGGTCCGCCAACCACAGCCGTCGATCTGTCCCACCAGTCGTCAGCCAGCAAAGAGCAGACCCTGGCAGTGGACGGGGCCACGGGTCCTGGCAATGGGCCGCAGCACGTGCCAGACCAGGGGCAGGAAGCTGGCTTGCTCTCCCACACCAATGGCCTGGCTCCCAGGCCCCCAAGCCAGGACCCTGCCAAGAAAAGTTCTGGGGAGAGCAATAAACTGCTCAAAGAGATAGAACCTGTGCTGAATCTTCTCACCAGTGGGGGCAAAGGGATCAATGGAGGGGGACCTGCCAAAGCGGAGACAAAGGACGCAGAAATCCAGGTGGACAGGTAAGCTCCACAGGTGCATGTGTGTGTACATGTGTTGTACGCGAGCATGTATTGCGACTGTCTCGCAGCCCAGAAGCTAACCTGAGTGTCTCAGTCTTCTGCACACGTACATCCACTCAACCACACTTGCCTCTTGTCCTGAAAATTGCCGTTGCAGGAATGCAGTGGGCGTAACGTCTAGCACGTATCTCTTGCCGTGAAACCCAGAGTTCATAATCCTGGTAGCTGAGGTCCTGTCTTCCAGCAACCCCACAAGGTGGGGATTTTTGCAATCCACATTTCACGAGTGGGAAGACAGAGGGTCAGAGAGGAGGGGGCTTTTCCGAGGTCACCCGGTGATGACAGGCACGTGTACATGGCAGGCTTGGGCGTGGGTGGATGCCGAGGCTCTGGGGAGTGAGAGGAAGCGCAGAGAGCTGAGAGCTGGGTAACCCTCAGTCCAGACTAGCTCTCTCCTGGTGATGGCCAGTCCAGTGCAAGGAAGCTTTGAAAAGGAGGAAATGGAGGCAAAGTAGAGAATTGGCCCTGACACTCCCCAAACACTGGAATTGCTCAGGTTATATGGGAGCCAAGGCTAGCACTTGAAGAGCTGGGTACCAGCCCCTCTGTATTTGCCAGATTGGCATTTTCTGAGTCTCTGGGGAAGGAGAGCTGGCAACACAGTGGGTGATTCTAGCTCCTTCTCTGGCGAGGAGTCAGCAGCTGGACCAGGTGGTCGGGAACTAGTCAGGAGAGAGAGAAAAGTTTCTCTCCGCCTTCTTCCACTCCCATCTAAGGTCTAGCACTGACCCTACAGCCCGCAGTGTTACTAGGCAGACCCTTCTTACTTACAGAGGGAGGCTCAGGTCTGAGCCCCCGAGAAATCCAGGCTGAGATTTCCCAGCTCCCTCCTCAAGGACCCCTGAGTGTCCCAAGAGCATTTAGAGGTCACCAGGAAGTCCCTTGGGGGCCTGGATTAAAGCAGCTCCCCAAGCCCCTGAATGTATTCGTTTAACAAATGTTTGTTGAGGACCTACTGTGTGCCACACTGTTCTGGCACTGGGATAGAGCAATGAATAGACAAGTCCTCTGACCTTGAGAGTGAATGAAATTGACAAAACCCCTGACCTTTGGAAGCTTACAGTACAGTGGGGAAGATGAAGATGTAAACTACGTAGACCATTCGTCATACGTGCTAAGTAGATAAATAGAGCGGGGAAGGGGTTAGGAAGTGTTGGGGAGGGTGACATTTCAGATCGGAAGCTGGTGGGTCTCACTAGGAAGGCAACATGGGAGGACCCAGAGGAAGGGGGAGAGGGGAGGCTTGCAGCTTCATGGGGGAGGGGTGTTCCAGGCAGAGGGAGCGGCAGGTGCCAAGGTCCTGTGGTCAGGTGTGCCTGACACATTTGGGGAACTGCATGGGATCCAGTCCTCCTTCCTGGTGGGGTGGCCCCCAAACTACCCATTGGTGGGCGCCTCAGTCCATGGAGCCCACCCCGGCCACCATTGCATCCTGGGGCTTTTCCAGCATCTGACACCAGGGCAAAAACTGAACCAGTGCCAGCAAGACCCCAAGTAGGAAGGCGGAGGCTCTGTCAGAAGGCTTGGGCAGAGGGGAGACAAAGGGCACCTGCTGCCCATCCAGCCCCCGCCCTCCCAGCCACCCCTTCACGCTCCTCTGAGTCCCCTGCACACACCCTGGAGCCTTTCCCACACCTTGGGTCCTGTCTCCACAAGAGAGAGCGCGTCTTGGGCCCAAAACACAGGCCACGGTGTGGGCAGAGTTGGGAGCCCCCAGTGCCCTGCTGTCCATTTCCAGAGCTGGGGGCCAGGATCAGTCCTCAGGGTTCTCCTGGTGGCAGGGACCTGGTGCCTGATTCTCCCTCAACTAGGGAGCTCCCCCAGGCTAGAATCCAGCCCTCAGAGCAGCCACCTCCCAGGGGTCCCTACAGCAACACACCCAGTGGAGATGACGTGTTGAGCCTTGAGATAGCTTCTGGGCAGCCAGCAGGCCCCCCAAGTCTCGCTCCGTGGACTTAAATTCTAAGGCAGCTGTATGGTCCAGAAGCAATCACTGGCCTTGTTTTCCAGGAGGCATTGGAAGTGTCTGTCCTCAGAGGCTCCTGGGCACGGCCTTGCCCCCCTAATCCTATACATGCCCCCCATCCTCAGCACCACCTCTCCCAGGAGGGGCAGCAGGGCAGTGAATGGGGCCATCGCACCGCGTGGGGCAGCTGAGCCCCTGTACTAATGTCCCATGTACTTGGTTCTGATTCTCAGCTGGGCACAGGGTGGGCGTGAGGTGTGAGCCTCAGAAACCCCGGGGGCTCTATTTCAGTCCCACCCTGGCCCCGGGAGCCTGAATCACCAGGTATGATGTGGAGAAGTCCCTCCTATCACTGGGAGCTGGGCCCTCCATCCGAGGAGCCAACGTGACCCCCTCTCCCAGCTGACAATCCGAAGACAAGACTGTCGGCTGGAAGAGGCCGGAGACAGGACACCAGACTGAGATGAGATCATCGAGTGTAATGAACTTTAATGGGAGCCCTCTTTGTAGCCAAGCCCCAAGGGGCTTCTCCAAACACCATCTCAGGGAAGCAGCCTTGTGTCCCCAAGAATGAGGGAGGGACACAGCGGTCTGCTGCGGGGCCCCGCTCCCGCCAGACCTATTTTACAACCTCAGGAGGTTACATCTGAGCTCTCAGCTGCCCTCGTCCATTCAGGGTCCTCCATCCAGGGAGCCCACATCAGTCTCACGTGCAGTGTGATTGACCAAAAGTAATCGAAAAAACTGCTTTGGTGGAGGTATGATTTGGGAGAAAGTGACCCAGGGCAAGCATATGCCTCCACGAAACCCACTAAGACGAATGGTTCTAAGGTTGAGTAATAGAGTGTAATAGCATGTGTTCCCCCAGCTCAATGGCTAGATGCGAAGCTCCCCCGCCTTTTTTTTAACAAATATTTGTAAATGTCCCCTTCACTAACCAGAAGCTCATTCATGGAGCACAATACCTACCCGCACTTTACATTTTGTAAATCAATATAACGCCCTAACTATAAAATAAAGGAGATAGAGCATCAAAGTCATTTATAATAAAAGAGCCTATAATTTAATATCTCAGTGCACAGGCATGGCTCCACCGGAGTGTCACGTGTTTGCACCTAAAGATAGACTTGCTGCAAACACGACGGCGTCAGATGCAGATTGACACAGGTGTGTTGTACTGGCAACTCAAATGCCACCTACAGCGTCACCTTGGTGATGTGATTTTTCCAAAATGGTGAATGATTCCTGATAAAACGATGTCCTGTCTTTCTTTGATTTACCCAACAGTTGCGTGCATGGAAAGTTCAGTATAATTTAAAGCCAAATTTATACATAAGCCCAAATTGAGATCTTGGCTGAGAAATTTAAGCATGCTTTTTTATCTTAGTGGGTGTCCAAAGTTTGTGTGGCAGTCTGGATCCTTCTTCCTTGAGTGGGTTTGTCGCTGGTATTGCAGGAGACCCCTCGCCACCCCCCCCATGCCACCTCCCTCCCGCTGTGATGCCAGGAGCACTTGCCATCACCGTTAACGACCACAAAAGCGCTCCCGCAAGTTGCCAAATTGTCTGCTCACGGCTGAAATAAGTGTCTCGTTACGAATCAGTGTCCCAGTCCCCCCAGGGGCCTCTCCATCCAGGCTGCTTTTCGGGGTGGGGTCAGACTGGCATCCCAGATGTTAGACGACAATGAGGCCAGCTGCCTGCCAGGCCCAGAGCCCCACATCCAGGTCACACTCAGTGTCCGCGGCTTCTGGGTCCGAGCAGAGGCTGGGCCATCACTGGTTCTCAGCAGCGACCTTGACTCTTCCACCCTTTTGGCCTCATTTCCTTCCTCCGTCCTTCTTTCCTCTTGGCTGTGGACTGATTCCCCTGCTCTGTCTAATCCCTTTCCCTCATGGGGCACCCCTAATCCTGTTGTTTGGCGAACTGGCCCTTATTTATGGAGAGAAGTGATATTTACTTTAGACACAGTCTCATTCCTTCATCCCAGGGGGAGGTGGCCCTGGCAGGCGGTGGCAGCAGGTGAGGGATGGTCAGGAAGGAAGGTGGTGATTTGGGGACCTTCTGTGCTTGGGAGCGGTCACTTTAAAATGCTGCATGTCAGAGGATATCCAGGTTGCTCAGCTTGCTGCCCTGAAGGAGGGTTCTAAAGAGGCCAAGGTCTCCGGTCCAGCATCCATCTGGACTAGCTGGTCAGCCTCGCCCTGTGCTCTGATAACTTCTCATCCACTCACAGGGCCCTTGGTTACTTACAAGAGTACCTTCACAATCGTCAACTCTTCCGAGCTTGCATGAATTCAGCTCCCTAAGCAGCACCTGTAGTTTTAGCCCCCGTTTATATAAGAAGGAACTAAAGCTCAGAGAGGTGAAGCAGCTTGCCCAGGGTCACACAGCACTGGCCACAGGGTCCTATCCAGGTTCTACCTAGACGTCTCACAGTGAGCGTCTACAGTTAAAGAGAAACCAGACAAGAGAATGTGGCTGGAGGAACGGAAGTCAATTTCAACCCTATAGAATCAGCTTAATTGGGGGAGGTGGCCTCCTTCTATGACAAGCCTGAGTTTTATCATCATCGTGTTGGTCAGCCTCTGCTGAGCACTCCAGGTGGGGCTGGCCCCAGGCTATGGTCTTAACATCAAGTAATTCACTTTCTCTGCATAGCACCCCGATTTCCTGATAAGGAAACCAAGGCTCAGACAGGTGCAGTCACTTGTGCCAGGTCACACAGCCAGCCCATGGCAAAGCCAGAACTCGGCCCTAAACCCATACTCTTGACCTCTACTAACTTTGTAGATTGCACTGTTGGCCACAGTGCCCTTGACCACTAGCCATCAAATTTCTGAGGACATCAGAATATTTTCTTAGTCTGAAGGGGAAACTGAGGCCCTGAGGTTGTCATCTACTAAAGACAGCCCCCCTGGAGAACTGATCTCAGACCGACCAATGACAGCATTGATTCCAGGACTGTCTGCATT